GTTTCTCTCTATGAATTTTGAAAATGGAGAAATCCAAACATTGATTATTTCAAAGTTGGGGGTTTTTTGCTTATTGCAAAAACACGGATCCTAAAAAGACTAATTTGTGTCCTGAAGGGATCAAGTGCTCTTTTGTATGATATACTCAAAACAACAAGGTATATCATTTATTAAACTTGGTAACCAATATCATAATTGAATCCCGAGATTATAAGTAGAAATATCTTTCGAGGATGTTGAAATAAGTGAACTTTGTAGAAGCAAAAGAGCTCGAAAGGGGAAAGAGCTAGGACAAGATGAATTTGATTCTCAACTTATTTCCTTCTATTTGGTTGAGTTAATGAGAAGAGTGTCACAAAAGGTACTCGATACGTTTTTCAAGCAGAAACCAATCCAAAAACTTATTGAAAAGTAATGTCGTCTAGAGATGGTATCTTTTGTAAAGATGCTATGAATGATTAAATTGATTTAATAATGTCAAAAAATACTTGAAAATTAGTTGATTTATCATCTGGATCGAAACATATGCATTTTAATGGATATTTAGGAGGAAGTACAATGCAGATGGTATTCTTAATACATTTAAAACTAGGTTAGTGGCCAAAGGTATTGTCAAAATAAATGAATAGATTACTTTGACACATATGCACCAATTATACACAAATAAATTCAATTAGGATTTTATTTGTTTTAGCTTCTGTTTATGATTTGCATATATATATAATGGATGTTAAGATTACATTCTTAAATAGAGATCTCGATGAAGAGGCTTATATAGAAGAATCAGATGATTTTGTTCTACCCAAAAATGAAGATAAGGTATGTAAATTAGTAAAATCATTATATGAATTAAAATAAGTACCAAAGAAATAGTACAAAAAATTGATACAACAATAATTTCTTTTGAATTTAAATACGAAAGTGTTGATAAATGTTTTTATTCAAAAGTTTGTAATAATTATGTTGTGCTTATTTGTTTATATGTGGATGTCATGTTGATTGTAAGTAATCATACGCAAGGTATAAAAGAAAAAAAAAAGGATTTATCTACCACATTTAAAATGAAAGATCTTGGTCAAGTGGATACATATTAGGTATCAAAGTCACCAAAACTAGCGGAGGTTATATTTTGAGTCAATCACAATATGTTTAGAATGTGATCAGTAAGTTCAATCACTTGAACATTAAAGAGGCAAATACTTCATTCGATTCAAGTTTGAAACTTATAAAGAACAATGGAAGAGAAATAACACAACTTGAGTATGCAAGTGATATAGAGTCTTATGTATGCAGTGCAATGCATAAGTGAGCTGTATTGTAAACGTTAATTATCATATTACACACTCAACCATGAAATCCAAATTTGAAATATTAGCTTAAACTAAAAAATAGGCTGATTGGTTTAGAGATTTAATGTATGAAATCCCATTGGAAGAGATGAATAATTCTTCTATATCTATATTGTGTGTTAGTCAAGCTATTTCATACAATGAAGTGTATAATGGTAAGTCTAAATACATGAGTCTAATACATGATTACATGAGAAAATTAATCAAAAGATTGAATAATTTCACTTACTTACGTGAATCAAGTATACCTCGATTTCAAAGAGTAACAACAAAGTCATTTGATAAGTGGATAATTTTAGTACTTATTCTTTTAACCTTATCCTAGGTTATAAGTGTTAGTTGATTGAGTTTGTATAACTCTTAATAAAGTTCAGATAATTAGATCAAGTATCTCTAAAAGTGATAAGCATATTATAAGAACATTATTTATATGAACTTCGAAGTGTTCGCCGCCTCAATAAAGATCGAAGTTTCTTTCTTAAAAGTTCGTGAATAGGAGAAACGCAAGGCCATAAGAATGCTAAACAAGATTGTGTGAACTTGAAACACATTATGCTTGTGTGTGTGATTTCACCGGATCATCACAAGGAATAATAGGTTCAAAGTTTTCATATTATCTAGGATTTCGATGGTACTTTGTGAGATTTACACTAAGATTGGATTCAAATAGAAAGATATCCATACTTTATACATAAGTAAACAAGTGGAGGATTCAAACATATAATGAGAAGTGATTTGGAGTTATCAAACATCAATATGAGAATATTGAGTAAGTGCGAAAACACTCGGAGGAAAAAATTGGAGACGGACAGAAAATTTGACCGGGCAATTGCCTAACCTCATTATCGATATACATAGCTGAAAGGCTACACTGGGCTATTGTGTAGATTTTTATTGGATGATTGTCTAGCTCAAAGTCGTGACCGGTGTATTTGAATTTTCTAGCAACTTTTTGATTTTTTTTGACACCTCTTTGATTTGGTTTTGGCACCCATTCGTCCATTAAATTTGATGGTTTTCATGTTAAAAAAAAAAAACATTAACATCAAATATACATACTTACTTCCAATTAAAGATCAAAACTTAGATTTCTTAAAGTGTTCTTCAAGTTCTAACTGAAGTTCATGTTGCTTGATTTGAACTTGGATACAAGGTTTGTTTACTCTTGTAAACTATTTGTTATTGAGCCTTCAAGTACTCATCCTAATGTCGGCGAATATCGTTTGACAACAACGATTCTATATTGTGTTCAAACCTTTCTTTCGGTGGATTTTAGGTTGCTGTTTTTTTTTTTTTTTTTAATCTTTGTACAATAGTTTATATGCCTCATGTACAGACATGCTTCACCTATATGAAAATTGTAAGTGAGATATGCATTAAAAGAGAACATGTATTATGTAAGATCTAAATGTTAATGCATAATCATATTTGTTGAATTGCTAATGGAAGTATTATGATTATCATGATCTCACATGCGTAAAAGACTACGTGTTCTACATCGTACACCCCTTCACTTAGTTGCATTTTATTAGGAGCATTTTCATAATTTCGAGAGGAGTGATAAAACAAACAGTGTGCCTGATTCCGGTATGAAGTCTTAGTGAGAATCAACTCAAGCTTGGGGTCAATGTTGACTTGTTATGGCCGTTCACCTTTGTCGAAAAGGACACTGCTGAAATACTTGTTATTGTTAACCATCGTTGGTTTTTGAGCGCTTCGAGTATGATCTAAGAACAAAAAGGCCATAACTGAACGTGCCATGTATGCTTGAACTTGCATGTATATCTGAATGTACAATAATGAATAATGCTATTCATAGTGAAAACTATCAGTAATCGTTCTACGTGGTATACGTGTGTCGCTTTATTATTTGAGTAGTTTTTTATTGCATCATTAACAAGTAAAAAAATTACTACTTTCGAAATGCCATGTATTTATAATTCTTATGTTTTATTAATTAGCCCTTGTTTGAGCCCTATTTTGGAGGGGATGCATTCTTGAATAGTTATTTTTTGGAGATTATATGGTTAAAAAGTGAAGAAATTTTTTCATTTTACGTGTAAAATTATTTTATTAGAAAATGTATGATTAAAAATGAATTTTGAAAAAAAAAATGAGTTTTTAGAAAAATGGGATTCAAACCCGGGCTTAAATATTAATACGAATTACCCAAGTACATGGTTATCTTTCGACAATTGTTTAGTATTTTAATTGGCGGATGTGGATAGCTTGAAATATTTTAAAATAATGTGTCAAATAGCATTACTTATTTTAAAGGTGAACATTTTGAGAGTTGGAGAGTTTTACTACAAAATAAACTATTTCAAAGTGTTTCTTATATTAATGTTTTTGCGTTTTAGAGATGCAAAAATTATCATATATGCTTTTAGAAAATCAATATATTTGAAGTATTTACGTCATTTTTATTGAAAGATAGAAAAATAGTCACGAATTTTGGATCGTGAAATTCAATATATACATATAAAAAAATATATGTATATATCATTCTATTTCAAATTCTTAGACATAAGCAAATGTTCTCAAACAAACAAGTGGTCTATTTGGCTTGTAAAATATTTAGTCATGACATAATTAAAGTATCCTTTACAAAAGGAGTAGTTACCAATTTTAAGATTCCATACGTAAAAATTAACTAGTGGATGGCTAAAGAGCCAACAGAAAAAAATAAGTAGGTCGATCATTGAATAACTTCCACTATTATTTTATTTTTTTCATCGACTTTCACGAAGAAAATTGAATATAATTCCATAATGAGGATGAAAACACAGTTTAGGTGACTTTAAATGATAGGTTAAATGAAAGGTGAAATTAAATAAATTTCACCTATCATTTAATGTCACATTAACGTCATGTAGACTGTGTTTACATCCCAGTGGGGATGAATAACATTACTTATATAATTAAGATCATTATCATTTATTTGAAGATGCATTCATTTTATTTAATGAAGCAACAATAATAATTAATACGACAATATGGCACAAAGTGGGGAGTAGGTGAACAAAGTCATCAAAGTTGACTGGCAATTGTTAGTATTAAATAAAAGTAAAAAAGGATATGAAAAAATCACAAAAAAGTTGGAAGTGTAGGCTTCCTGGGTATTTCAAAATCTACTATACGTCCACAAAAATTGACCATATTCATATATACTATATAGTCACATGTCTTTAATTAAAGGCCACAAATTATTTTCTGGCTTTGTAATTGTCTTTGGTGAAGTAACAAGGCGATATTGTTTTGGTAAATAAGAGTAAATGAAAATTAGAGCAAAATCTCAATTAGGGAATAAACTTGTTACTTATTCTGTCAAACAATTTTCAAAGTTATTTTCTCTACTCACAATACTAATTTTGCCTCTGTAAAAGGATATTTTTAAACACAGCCAAACATAATAAGAGTACGTAGATAGATCCATAATATGAAAATTTAAGAGAAAAAACAAATGCTGCAAAAAGATAGAAGAAAACTGTAATCACAAGATCTACCAGTTCTTCAAGCCCCAAAACCCCACCCCAGTGACTATAATAGGCACCTGTATTGCTATATATACATGCCACAAAAAAGTCAACAAACGTCCGATAAATTTAAAGTCGACTACATGAATAAATATATGTAAATTAAGATCACCTTCTAAAGCTTGACTTTCCTCTTGCACTTCTGTTCTTGAATTGCTCGGGTTGTAATATTGATACTCACAGTACAATTCATCTTCACAGTAACATGTTTCTTGATAATATTCATTAACTTCACTCTTCCACCTACCACAGTATAACTATCGATAGCAATCAAACCAGAATTTATATCATCACCCAAACTAGGCTGTGACAGTATTCTATCAGCAATAATATTCACTGTTACATTCATGCGAGTCGTGCGTCGTGCCTTCGACTTTCCGGGTGGCCCCTGGGCATCGCCGATCACGGTCCCATGTAAGAAAAGAGTGGTGGATGTGTTCGGGAACTTGAAGGACGCATAGTTAGGATTCTTGACAGAAATATCTGCTGTTATGGACATGTTGGAGCCGGGCCGGGGCAGTGGCATGGTTGCGTTTATTGGTTCGAGTTTTGTGACGATAACATTGTTCATTCTTATGATGGGGTCTTTAACTTTGAATACGGTGAAGATTAAGATGACAACTACAGCTGCTTGAATGAGGATAACGGCTGCTATGCAGCCACAGCACTTGATGCATCTTCTTTTTTTGAGGTTTTTGACGTTTTGTAGGGCGATTTCTTCGTCGTCGCTGCTAATTCTTTCAGACGCCGGTGCTAATGGCCTAACTTGATCTCTTTCTGCCATGGTTAAAGCTTGGATCTACCCGCAGCCGCCGCGGTGGTGGAGAAGAAAAAGGGAGAGGAGGAGATGTTTTGGGGTGGCTGGAAATTTTATGTACTAGTTTATTATATATATAGTTGTTAGGGCAATCTGTGTCGACATTGTGGAAGTAATTAGTTTAAAAATTTAAACTGTTGGAGAGAGAGTATATTTATGTATAAATTATACGTTTAACATACCGTTTCACATTCACATAAGATTCAAATTTTCTTAAAAGACGACCCGTATATTATTTCATGACAATGATCGAAGCTTGCAAGACTTTTATTTGTTCTAGTGTCATGTTAAATTATTTTATTTAAACGTTAGATATAAAAAAAAATGTTTATTTATATTTTATCTAACAAATGTGAGTTCAAAGTATAGTGAGCAAGATTTTATAATATCGTAGAGTCGTGCAAAATTTATTATAGCAAATTAGTCAATTTTTTGCTGCTTGTGGTGGGACTTACACTTGTGGAAATTTAGCCTTCTTTTGTTGACTTCCGATAGCTCCTTTATTTCCCACTTCCGCATCGTGAAGTAGTTAATAAATATTGGGGAAAAAGAATTCAGAGATCGTGAGTTCGATTCGTGGTGCTCTTGAAAGACGGACTATTTCCTGAAAGACATGATTTATCTTAGAAGGTAGGAGTTTTCCTGAAAGGCAGTGTGCAACATGTGTTTACTCGCTGACACTTTGGCAAGTCAGTGGAGGGGGCTCTTGGACCTTTGCCAGCTCGGAGCACATCTCGCGATTTACCTGGTCTGCATCTTGAGAGGCCAGGCATAGACCCCAGGATTAGTCGTCAAATGTGGTATACCTAGGTATCCAAATTAAAAAAATAAATAAATAAAAAAAAATATATATATATATATAGGGAAATTTATTCTAATTATAAAAAGCAAAAGAACTGTTGCCTTTCGAAGACTTCTGTTTCATTGACTATTTATATTCAACTTTTGTTTCCAAAACAGTGACTTATAATTTTAGTCAAAATTAAATTTCAATTTTAATCATAAATTAATAATTATTATGGCTTATTATGTACATTTAGTGAAATTCACTACTATTTACATTATAAGGAAATTATAAGTAATTTATTAAAAAATCCAAACACACGCAACATCTATTTTCGCAACTTTTTAATTGAATGCAAGACTTTGTACAAATCTTATCTTACTTATTAAGAGAGGATTATGCTACATGTACACCTTTTTTTTTACATAATTTTTTAACTGTACTCACAATAGGGTTTGAGGACCACACATTTGAGAGTTTTTTATTTACTCGGGGTGGCACATTTTCGATAAACCTCATTCGGTACAAATAGAATTATCCTCAAGGAGAATATCCTCGTTAATTTCGAAAAAAGTTCATATAAAAACAAATCGAAGAAACTTAAAATTTACAACAATCTTATCAAAACTTTAAATGTAGAAGATCCTATTTTTAGGTTCATATATCTAGTGTAAAGAGTCTAGAGACACTTCTTGTAAAGGGAAAGAAATTATAAATAGAATAGAATAAAAGAATGAATTTCGAACACGTCTGACTTGCTCAGAAAAGGTAAAGTTACTTATAAGTTATAAGTAATTTTTATCCATATTTTATATTTTTTTTTAGTAGAAAAGCTAATTTATTTTAGAGTAACCACCTTATCATCAAAATATATAACTCTTTTTTTTTTTTTTCCCCTAATTTTGACTAATAAAAATATTTATTTCGAAACGTATTTATTTCCTTATAATTACTAGTTTAGATAAAAAGTTGTTGTTAGTTGTGGTTGGTGACTTAAAGCATAACTGCAATAGAAGCAATATAGTATTTGGTCAATGCCTTCACACAATAATTAATTGTAACACTATCAAGTCTACACAAAAAAGCAGGCACCAAATTTGAATAGTTTATATGTATTCTAGAACATGACACTGTCAAAAATGTTTTTCAAGCATTTAATCATACATTTGACAAATATGAATAAATTAAAGTGTTTTTGTTTTCTTTTTGGCAAGAATGTGACACGCGACGATTAAGATATTTTCATTCGCCGTGTTTGACCAATCATCATTCCCACAAAAGAAAATAAATTCGACGACTTGTTATTTTATTTTTTTCAAGTCGTAATGAGATTGTTATAATATGGAATAAAAATCGATTCGATATCTATTGCTAGTGTCTTTATGATTTGCTTGATAAGAGTACTATATAATTAGAAAATATTAAAATGAAATTAATATTATTTATTGCATTGTACAAATGAATATTGTACGTAAAGATGTTTTATTTCTTCTTTATTTACCTGTTGTTCTAGTTGTTTACTTGTTTTAAGATCTTGCTACATGTGTATCAGGAGTTACATAATAGATTACATAATGTTACGTGACACTCTATCAATTTAAAATATAGTCACCTATTTTCATCTATTCTTTTTTCCTCCATATCATTTTGTACCCGAGCGTTTACATACCCAGGTACACGACCCCATCGCCTCCCTCACTACGAGGGGGGCCCGAGGTGAATAAAATAATGGACGGGCCCCCCATTGTGAGTGGGGGGCATGGGGTCGGGTAAACGAACGTGTAACTGTAGAAAAATCCTCATATTAAACCCTTTATGTACAAATTTGACATACAAGTAGCAAAATCCCTAGTTTTATTAATTTATTGTAAGTTAGTTACATAAAGATTTATATAAGTGATGATATAATGTCATATGACAATCTACAATTTTGCCAATTTAAAACAGTCAATTTTTTTATTCAAAATTTTTTTTTACATTATTTTATGTAATTCTTTATATACTGTTTTTATAAATATCATAATCCTTTACTGTAATGCTCCAATAGTCCTGGTAATCATGGCCGGCCATGGGACCATGATATAATTTTTTTTTTTTTTTTTTCCAGGACACGCGTAAGCATTTTGTTGGTTCCTATTATTTCATCATTTATTGCTTTCTTGACTTCCGACTTTATCATTTATTTATAAAAGTTATATACAATGATATAGTTAATCAACAAATAGATTTGTCGTACATGCTAATGTACGCCGTTGAAATATTTGTACAAGTTGTGATCATTTTAGTCTACGTTCGGCCCTCAATTTTTCAAAAAATTAATCATCTTCTGCTTAATTTCATTGCATCAATTAATTTTTTTTTCTTGATATATGAATTTTCGATGCAAATTAAACGAAGATGGTTGATTTCAACAAAGCGAAGAACATTAAAATAACAATTGAATGAAAAATAATAATTTAGCAAATATCCTAAGAGACTAAAGGAGTCCTTGATTAAACCACGACTAGTCTTACGAAGGGTAAATAAATAATTGAATGAAAAATAATAATTTAGCAAAGAAACGAAATCGATAATGTTTAACAATCTGAACCACGCGCTATTAGTTTATTTGGACACGACCATAGCAAATCATTTGATGCTGGCTAAATGCGTGGTGAATTATGTTAAAAAAAAATAAAAAATAAAAAAAGCTATTCATAATGAACTATATTTTGAGGTGTGTTACACTTTTTTTTTTAAATATTGAAGTATTACAACTTCAAAATTATGATACACATTAAAGTCCCAGTGAACTGCTTTTCGAAATACAAAAGCTCACTCTCTAGTGGGCTTTAGCTTTGACACGAGCAAATATGAGTTGGGCATACACAACTGTACTAATATCTTCCCGTTGTACAATTTGAGGTAAAAATAAGTAGAAATTATCTATAAAAACAAACGTTTAAATATTCTACTAACAGTAAAGAAAAACAGTTATTTTGAAAGCAATTTTTTTAAAAAATATCTATATATTTTACGACGGCATGACTTATAAATATTCTACTAATTATTTTGAAAGTGATTGTTCAGACAAAACTCGCAAATGTACGGAATCGTTGACAATTAATAGATTTAGTGAGTTAAAAGTATCGTCACATGAGAAATAATTGTAATTATAGTTTACTAATTATTATCAAATTCGATCTAATATAACACAATAGAGTTTGTTTCATTATTATTCTATCTTACGCTACGTATTATAAAAAGTTTATTTTTATCACATAATGAGATGGATGCATTGGATTTTAGAATCCACCTATTGATTTCTATTTCCAATCATCGACTTATTTAAGTTAGTATTATTCAAATGTTCGTGACAATCGATAATCCGCTAATATCTAATAGTCTTTTTCAAGATATATTTAAACTATTCTTAGCATGACTCGATTCTATTCCTAGTCCAAATTCATATGCAAAGCAATATCTCCAACCTAAAACTCCACATCTCTCCTGTTTTGATCAACATACTTTTTCATTCGCTTGGCAGCCTTCGCAAAGTTGTCCTTAGCTTGCATCTCTTGTTTATCTTGTGCAAATCGAAAAGCAGTTGCACACACACTACGCCTCCCCCTTATTTTACAATCTCAAGAGGCATCTTGGGCATATGCAGCATAGTTAACTCAGTCGGACACGTACCCGTATCAGAGGATTGATGTAAATTATAGCAAAACTGAGTTGTATCAAGCAAGACAACCCAATTTTTCTGACTTGCGAAAACATAATGTCAAAGATATTCTTCCAACAATGCATTTATCTTTTCCGTTTAACCATCGATCCGTGGATGATTTGTTATTGAAAACTTCAATTCAGACTCCATCATGTTAAACGACATCGTCCAAAATTTGTCTGTAAATCAAGAATCCCGACCACTCACAATATTCTAGGGTATTCAAAAGTATTTCACAACATTTTTGAAAGATAATCCAGCAGCAACGTCCGTTGTACACTCATGTGGAGCTGAAATAAAAATCGAATATTTTGAAAACCTGTCCACCACCACCATAATGTGATAATCCAAGAATAACTAATCAAGAGAGGGGTGAATTGGTTTTTGAAATTTTTGCGACACTTAGTCTCAAAACAATACAATACACAAGATATGAATGCAAAGTACTGTTGGAAATATGTAATAAAATCTGGAAAA